GTTTGTTAGCTGACTGTGGGAAATGACGTGCGTTGTAATGGTTTTACCGTGAGCCCATTGTAACTGATCTAATTGGAGTATCGCTATTTTTTTTACTGCCCCCAGGCTTGGAGCATCCGTTATATAAAGAGGGGAGAAGCCTCACATCATCACACTGCAATCATTTGGAAGTCGCTCTTCATGAGAATCACCCCGAGACGCATTGTTTCACTAGTCATTCGACTCTCCTTCGCCTTCATCCTGTTTCGCCTCGCTAGAACCTACCTTTCTCGTCGCAAGATGCCTGTTGCACCGGTCATTGCGCTCTCCCACGGCGGAGGTGAGTGAAACTTGCATCTTTTCTTTTACTCAATTTGACTGCACAAGCACCAGCATGCGAGTATAAAGATATTAAATCATTCACTCTAACTAACATGAATTGAAAGGTCCCATGCCCATTTTGGGAGATCCTGGCCACAAGGACATTGTTTATTCCCTCAAGAACCGCGTGCCCAAGATTCTGAAGCTGGGCACGCCAGAGCAGCCCCGCGCGATTGTTCTGGTGACGGCGCATTGGACGACGGGCGAGCCGACCATCTCGTCCGAGGCGTCGCACGAGCTGCTGTACGATTATTACAACTTCCCGCCGGAGGCTTACAAGCTCAAGTACCCCGCGCCGGGCGAGCCTGAGCTCGCGCAGACCGTCTCCGCTGCGTTCGAGGAACAGGGCCTGAAACCCGTGTTAGATGGTAAGCGCGGATGGGATCACGGCGTTTTCATCCCCATGTTGCTGGTGAACCCGGCCGCCGATGTGCCCATCGTGCAGGTCTCCGTCCTAGAGTCTGAGGACCCGGAGAAGCACCTCCGCATGGGCGCCGCGCTGTCCAAGCTGCGCGGGCAAAACATCGCCATCATCGGCTCCGGCTTCGCTTCGCTGCACAACTTTAGGGCTTTTCGGGAGGTCAGGGCCGGCGGGCCCGACCAGATCCAGTTGTGGAGGGACAAAGTCGACGAGTGGAACGCCGCCCTGACGGGGGCGGTGGGCGCGGAGGTGAAGGAAGAACGGTGGAGCAAAGTCAGGGCCTGGAGGGAGCTGCCGCACGCGTATGATATGCACCCGCGCGGTGGTGGGGAGCACTTCATGCCGCTGGTGGTGTGCGCGGGGGCCGCACTGGATGGGGAGAAGGTGGAGAAGTATAGGGATGAGTATGCTGGGACGAACATTTTGACGTATTATTGGGGTGCTGAGACGGTGGCTTGAGGGGAGTGCACGCTGTAGAACTTGGAATGAAATGGAATATGAATTTTTTATGTTTCGTCTCTTGTGGCAATAACCATGAGTATCATAATTCTTCTACATGCTAACACATTTCTCCTATATCATCTAGGACTGTCTACATTTTGACTCAATGACCCCCATTCACCCCATTCACCCCATTCACGGCCTTTGCTAATCCATACTCCTCAGCTAGCTTCTCCGCTGCAATCAACCCAAGCTGGTACGCATGAGCCTGCACATGCGCGGCCGGCAGGAAAGGCCAGATGCTGTTATCTACCACCCTCAGGCCCTTGACGCCGTGAACCCTAAAGTCTGGGTCCACGACGGCCTTGTCCTTGACCTCGTCCTTGCCCAACTTGCAGGTAGCGCTCATGTGCCAGCTCGTACTCGCGCTCTTGCGCCACCAGGCGAGAATGTCCTCCTCGCTGTCGCTCGCGGGAGCATCGATGGCAGCGATGGTGTCCTTGGAGATGTCCTTGCTGCTCAGGAGCTTGAGTATGTACCGTGTGGACTCAATGGCCTGGCGTCGGTCATAGGGATGACTTAGGTAGTTGGTCTCAAAGGATAGAGGCACGCTTGGATCAGAGGACTTCAAGGTAAACGACCCGCGGCTCTGCAAGTACTGCAGGTCGAGGAAGACGCAAAACGTGGCGGGCGTGTTATCTGGGTCCATGAAGAAGCCAAAGTCGGGAAGACCAAAGCCGATCTCGTAGGATGCCACGTCGGGCTGACTGAGGAACGCCTTCTCTTCCTCTGGGAGGGAAGCAAACTCGGGACTGTTGAGCAAATCATCGCTCCTTACGAAGCCGAGGGGAAGGGTGCAGCCAATGGTGGCAAGGGGTCCGGTGCGGTGCATCTCCCACTGCCGCAGGGCTGCCTTCTGGGCGGCCTTGCTCTTGAAGAACGCGGGCATGACGGTGGTGTGCTCCTCGCGCTGGTAGCGCATGATGGCGGCGACGTGGTCCTGGAAGTTTTGCCCGACATTGGGGTTCGCGTGCGCGACGGGGATGCTGAACCTGGAGAGCTGGTCCTCGGGGCCGATGCCGGAGTGCATGAGGATCTTGGGGGAGTCCATGGCGCCGGCGGAGAGGATGAATTCCTTGGAGGCCTTGAAGATGCGACCGTCGAGGGATTCGATGCCCACGGCTTGACCGTTCTCCAGAATGACACGGCGGATGGGTGTGTCTGTGATGATGTCTAGGTTGTCGGGGGCATCGTACAAGAGGTCGGCGGATGTAGTTCGCACACCTCGCCAGGCCGTCGCTGGATAGACACTAAATCCTAGCAGGTTTCCGTCGTTGGGATCGGGTCGGACTGGAACGCCGTTCTGCTCCCAGATATCGAGCATGCTCAAGACTTCCTCTTCCGGTTCTTGAGAGTAGCCAATATGGATCGGCCCAGAAGTGCCGTAGTTTCCTTCCTTTTGGTGTATATACCTCTGTCGTTCCTTTTCAACATCTGGGTAGGTGCAGTGATGTGTGGTGAGCTTGTTGTATCGCTGCTTGACCTTGTCCCACGCCCAGGAGCCGTCACCGGTGAGTGTGACCATGCGGTCCCAATCTGCCTTGGCACCCTCACTCCAGACTGTGAAGTTGACGGCACTGCTGCCACCAAGGCCCTTGCCGCGGGCGAGGGGGAGCACGCGGTTGTCCATGTGAGCATCTGGATTGCTCTCGTAGCCCCAAGCCTGAGGGGGTTCATGTGGGTGATCCATTTCTGACTTTCGATGCGAAGGGTAACATTGCTGTTGTCTGATCCGGCTTCGATGAGCAGAACACTGGGGGCTTGAGTGGTTTTGGCAAGTTGGGTAGCGAGAGCTGAGCCAGCGGGACCAGCGCCAACGACGATGAAGTCGTACACTTGAGAAGTCTCCGAGGCCATGATGGTTGTGTGTTTTTATAGGAGTTTAGTGGGTAGAGATGGATAGATGTAATGCTTGATGATTTGAAAACTCCTGGGTTGGGAGAGGGAAACGCAGGTTTATAAAGTAAAAGGAGCCACATATACCCCCCAATACCAGTCATCAACCATCAACTAGTTGATCGTCGAGCACGGCTTCCAAAAGAAGGATTATGCGCCGCTGTAATTGAATCCAAGCTCACCGGATTCCCAATTCCGAGTCCCGACAAATCAACTACCGTCGGGACCCCAAGTTCAAAACCTACCAACCACTCGATCTCATCCAAGATCTCTTCCCAAGGGGATCACATGGCCCAAGCCCCCCCTCCCAAAGCCCATCAGCGATTTTGACTCAAGCCTGATTCGCAGGACGAAATAGATGCCACTTACGGACTATCTGGCGGGAATACAACCCCCCTGGCCTGCAAGTACTTGCTGAGTTGGGATGACCTACTTTTCTCGGCCCTTCTTGTCATGCCTCACCCGCGCACGCACAACCTTCGCAACGTGTCGCAAGCAAGCAGAATGCCGAAGCTGTCTGAGACATGGATGGGTGGCGCTTGGCGCGGCCGCTCCGCCTAGCCCAGGATGAGGGCACGCACATCAGCAGCCAGCTCGACGGCCGAGAGATCAGCATCCGCGATCAGCCCTATCCTCAGCCAAAAGCTAAACATTAACTTCTTTATTCATCATCCTTCGTTTTTTTTTATCCATTCCAAATATTTCTGCAGTGTCCTCCTCGGATTGCCGAGTAGCCTATTGGTTGAACAAGTCTCCCCTCCTAAAATGAGCTACGCCTCTCCGCATCCGCACCCACAATCCCAAGGGCTTCTAGACTATCCGAACCTAGCCCATCGCTAAGGTTGGTTGTAGGTAGAAAATACATGGAATGCCCTTAAATAGCATTGCTTGTGCTATTCCCATTTTGCTACTGGGGCTGCGGCAGCCGGCAGCGCCCATCCCCCATGGCTTGCTTATTGAACAATCGGTATCTGAACCGGGGGGTAGCTTCATAGTAGAGTATGATTCATGCTCATTGTTTTCAACAACCTTGTTTATGATGCTGACGCAATGAATCGGGGGCAGGGATGCCGTTGCGAACCTCCCCCCTTTTTTATCTGCCTTGTTTTCTCAAAAAGAGAGAGAGAAAAGGCGGTCTTACTGTCTTGCTGCCTTGTATCAATCAGAACGAGGCAAACAGATGAGCAAAGTCCATGGACTTCGAAAAAAGGCCGTCTTGAATAGTCATCATCGTTCTCGTTTTCGCTCGCATTGCTGTGCGGACAATAAGACGCAATCCGGCAGTCCACAGCGGGAGTCCAAAAAGGGCAATGATTATAAATGAAAAAATAGTAATACTTGTAATAAAAGAGCCAAGATCTAGGCACGGAGTTTTGAGGGGAATCTAGATCATGTTCACATGTATATGACTTCACTTATCATGTCTCATTTGATCCCCCCCCATGTCGATATCTGCACTCAAAGTGGGTTGGGTGGATTGCGGGTATCGCAGGTCAAGGGCATTTGTGTAGGGTAACTTTGGTTTCATGTTGAGTCAATTAATAGTTTGACGCTATTCTTTCGCATCACTGATCAACATCTGATGCGACCTTGATTGGAGTTGAGAAGAACATCTAGGAAATAAGATGATTGTAGTGGTGAACATTCATTTTGGCGATGAGCATCCATCATGCATCCCTCTCTAGATAATGAGTACTTCTTAACTAACGCAGCGCGTGCTTACTACGACGGCGAGCCATTGTTGATGACAACCAATATTCCTAGCCATTCAGCGTACTGCATATATATCAAATTACTTTGATTCGTCTTCAACAAAGCACTTGGCGCAGTGGCAGAGTGGTTAATGCGCAAGACTTGAAATCTTGTTCCTTCGGGAGCGTCCGTTCGAACCGGGCCTGCGTCGAATCTTTTTTTGTGTCTTTTTTGCGATTTTATTTTTACATCTTTGATATGTTGGCTTGGCACGCAACGCTTGGGAGGTCTATAATTCGGATTAATTACAGGGATTAGTATTATTGCAGCTCTGTATTGGTCCGTATGTTTTGGATGCCCTCTCTGTGGGTGTCGTCGATTGCGAATATGGGTACGAGTACTGGGATTATGAGAAGCTACTTGGGTTACATGCGTACATGATCTATCGCTGCTCCTCCTCCATTCTGAAGAACTATGAGCAATTCAGCTGTTGTATCATATCTTCTTTTTCTTCTTTTTTCACCAGGTACTTGATCTCGTTTACACGGCGCACTGACAAAAAACGAGCATGTTGGACGATTTAGTGTAGCATCCTACCCATGACCATGGTTCTGGTCCATTAACACGCGCTTCATCAGCTTCATCTAATCTTCTAGGCTGTTTACTAATATGGACGCGAGTAAGTCGCTCGTGCGCCCGCGTACAGTTTTGCCTTCTCCACCGCGGATGGCATCTTCTTGATCCGTCCTCGGGGTTCTCGGGGCATTCAGGTCCTTGGTAGCAACACCGTTGAGATAAACTCCGCCAACACGAATGCAAGCGGAACTGATAATGGAATACGGGAGGGGGAACATATACAAATGTGATAATGTTCCGACCCGTGGCTGGTTCAGATCTCGGGAGTCGGGTCGGCAACCGTGTGTGTGTGTGTGTGAAGGAGGAAGTCCAGAATGGCAAGGGTAGGTGTGTCTCAGTACAAGTGACAGGGCGGCACGAGAAGGGTTCGGCTTATATATATCGCCCGAGCTCAAGAGCGGCGGATTGCAGGGTGGATCATATGCAGCCATCGTGCAAGTTCCTGAGTGCAGGTTCCTTGTTTGATGCCGCGTGTCCTTCTTGTAGCACCGGAAGCTTTCGTTGGAAAGACTTTTCTGACCGAAACCTTTTGAATGGGCTTTAGGTTATGTAACGTATCGTCTCTCGGTTTGTTCGAGCATCATTCTCGAAGCCATCGCTCTAGCTGTGGCTTTTTGGAGAAACCAAGCCACTCTAGGCTGTACCTGTGTGAGATTTAACCCTACTCTTTACCGTGTCTATAGCCCCATCGATGAGACGGACAATCGTCAGCGGATGCTAGCTGAGGCTTGAAAGCTAAAAAGCTGCCAAATTGTTGTCTGTGGCGGAGGCGAGGTCTTCTCACTCTGCCAAGTTTATTTATTGTCTAACCACGACTGGTATTGGTATATTATTGGTTGAGTATCATGTACTTCTAAGATTTCATGTTCTATTATAAGCTAACATGAATCAACTATTTGGAATATGACAAGCGTCAACATCAGGCTCATCTCTTCATCATAGCGGCTTCATCATAGCGGCTTCTTTTTCACTGTCGTCGCTCACTGGTATGGCACATTCTTCATTGGCAAGTAGATTTATAATCCGAGTCATTTGTTTTTAGCTACAAATGACCTGTCTCCAATAAAATGCAAATAGCTTGACGCTCTCAGCGCTGGAGCACCTGTTACTAACACCATCAACCCTGTCATCAGTACATCAAGGATTACAGTCAGAGCCATCAATTCTAGCAATATAACATTTGTCATATCCATTCCGTTGCTTATGTACACTACTAAAAGCAGAACCCGGGTTGGTAAAGAAATAGTCCGGAGAGCGTTACCTGATCTCGCATGAATTGCTCCGTAAGAAGGAACCTCTTTATGTTTTTTATGACATAGACTGTGAGACCATCGTTAACATCAAGCAACTATTCCACTTGCTGTGGACATGTCATGTTTGTCCGGCTTGGTGTGTGATTCAGCTCACGTTGACAGCATATCTCTAGCTGTCTACTTCTCCATGACCGACACACCGCACATTACGTGGCTGGCTGAAATGCACCGGCTTCATGCATTGGATTTGGCTCAGAAGATCAAGAGCGTCTGGTCAGTGTCTGCTGACGGGCTGCGATCCGAGTAGGGACTGACGACGTGCAACATCCGTACTATCCGGGATCAACGACCTCGTTTGAGTAGGAAAACATCGCAATGTGTCCCTTTCACCTCGCTGTCATCTATCTGCTTTATTGCGACGGGGTTGGCACAACATTATCATCAATTATATATCGGCGAGACCAGCCATAGAATGTACCGAGTGGCACTGTTAATGATTCGCTGGTGCATGGTGAATCGAGGGGATAGTTTGGACTCATGGGTTTCTCGGCTGATGTCATGGTCGTTGTGTTGGTGTAATTTTTGGAAAGATAGGTACAAAATATATGAAGATGAATTGATAACATCGCTACAATACGTGTCTACTATATGGACTGAGGAGCTACGGCGCTTTTCGTCATATGTTGTACAATGATGGCATGCACCTGCCTTGTTGCATAATGACAAGCCTTTTACCATTTATTATCATCATAGGACACCCTGTTCTCCAATTTGGCTCCTCCCTCCACGAGTCTTCTCACCATATTTATGCTACTAAGCTCTGAAGCATACGATAATGCTGTTTGTTCATCATCGTCTTCCTGGTTGATTGCTACATTGGAATGAAGGTGACTCTTGAAGGATCACGTACTAACCCACCCAGGAGGCAGTGGATAAAACCCCTTCTTTACGGCTCTTGCAACTGGCAGAGTGCCACAGTCAGCCTAGATGAGCGGAACTTTCGTACCCAATGCATCTTGGGAATATCTTTCAGGCAATTACAAGATAACTAACTTCGTATCTAGATCTGTTCGTCCATCTCTTACTGCAAAGCCTGCCAATAAATTTTGCGGGCTATTGGTAGAGAGGGCCTGAGATAATCTGTAGCGTCTATTCTGGCTGCCTAATATTGCCTCTTACCGCTCAATTTTACTCCTTCATACTAATATCGAAGCAGAGAGTATAAGAATAACCTGAATTTCTTTCATCTTTTTTTCCGTCGAGATTCATTTGCCAACTCGGCAACCGTGGATGAGGCGTCAGCGGGAATTGGTAGTTTATTCTGACTCTTCAAAATTGGAATCGTGCATGCAAAGGCATCGTCCGCGTCACATAGGCCTCTAGCGATAAGAGCTCTCTGAATACAGCTGACGTTTTCATTCGCGAGGGTGAGGCCTCCGTGATAGCGTGTCGCCTCCGTCCTCCCGCCAATGCCCTCGACGGCTTGCGTGATTGCCCTGAAGAATAGGGAATAAATTTCCTGTGCGCAATTCAGTAGCAGGGAACTTTTAGAAACCACGTCAAAAACGACGAGTTCTCCCTCTGGCGAATTCGTCTCTATGTTGTGCCATCCAAAGAATCGCCGGTGATCGCTGAAAGGAGTGGGCGGTCCCGCCAGACCGGCCACGTACTCCTTATGAGATTTTATCCTCCCCCACACCGCATTCTGGACAGGTGCGTAGTTAAATGCCCGATAACTAGAATCACCAGTTTCAATAATATTGGGTGCATGTCCGCGATCCATGCATGGGGATGCTTTTAGATGTCGTTGTCGAATTTTGACACCGCCCCGTCGATGCCAAATATTTAAATCTTGCATCTCACCAGACTCATATAGCGGGCTTGTGTGATTCGAGATAATCCGACTTATGCGTTCCTTGGCCTCTTTGCGCTCCATGTCTCCCATATCCTGTCCCGTATTTTGCTCCTTCAAGGACCAGAACCATAGGCCAAGCACGGCTTCTATCTCAGACCTGTCTGCCTTCCATGCTCCCTCGGGACTTCCGTCTTGATCGGTTGCTCTTCGCAACGACATATGAATATGGCTGCTTTGGTGCATCTGCATGAGAGGATCTAGTAGAGAGCCCTGCACTGTCCAAAATATGGCACAAGCGTCTCCCCAAGGCTCATAAAGTCTTATCGGTGGCTGTGAGTTGTAAGTGAAGAGGATTTGCATGGTATCCTCAATAGCCTGCGCCAGAACGAGAGCCGCACCTCGTACTGGGACCAGCCTCTCACCCCAATGGTTACTCTTTTCTGATTCCGGCCCCTCTATTCCTGTCATCCGAGCAAGACGACTTCTGTAAAAGAACGTCTTTACGGCGCTCCTCGGATCTCGTTTGCAGTCGCCAGAAACGCAATTGCTTTTATTTTTGCACGCAGAACAGTACTCTGTTGATAACCATTTGAAGAGCTCTCTGCTAGTCGCAGCTTCAAGAGGATCTGTGGAATCAAACAAGCTGATTGGGTACGGAAGTTTCACTCGGAACCCGGAGAGGATGCATGAACCGCTCTCTAATACAGGCAATTTTTCCAAAACGCTAGAACTCTGGTTCACCCGTGAGTCTAAGCTTGAAAGGGTGTCGGTCCTGGGAGGTATGTTTCTGTCAGAGTTGTGAGAGGTTGTGACATCGACGGCTCTGGGAGCACTGAAAATCCTCCACACCCGACGTGACTGGATTTCCATCAAGGGGCTAGTCTTTGCGGTAGATGGCTGGGATTGCCCAAGCTTCAGGGCTAGAAAATCTAGTTCATTTCCCTGAAAGAAATCCGGGTCATGTACCATAAAGTTGTCATCTCTGCTTAGTCGTTGCGTTCTAAGGCCTGACCGAATGCCGCTCATGATGAGAGTTATGCCGAATTGGGCGATTGCCACAGATGAATGACAAGCCCTGAGACCGAGAAACTGACAGATGAACCCAATTACGGTTGTTGCGACGGCCGTCCAAGTCCAGCCCATGTTAGTGTGATCTCCACCCGTAGCTTTCCAAGATGTGATATATTTCTGCAGTGGAGATTTGGCGTCAGAATATGCAAAGGGATCAAACATCTGATCACCTATGGTCTGATTTCCTGGTTGGATCCAGTACATTCTAGCTTGGGGTGTCTGGTCCTTTGGGCTCGTCCTTTTGTAAACCCGTTTTTTGCTTTTACTCTCGACCAGATGGGCACATAGAGCCATCCCTACAGAGAGAAAGACTGTTCCAATGACAGTCAATGGAACCGCATAGTCATCTGGAAATGATCCGAGTCAGCCCTGGTCTTGCTAGAATACAGAATATGC